CAGGTCTGCCAGCGCCACAGACACGGAGTATGCACATGGCGCTGCTAGTTTGCAGGCTGAGCTGAAGAAGTACGTGCTGTCTCTCGATGAGTGGTTGAGCTACGACTTGGCGAGCAGGGCTGGTATCAAGGCCTGGCTGGCAGCCCCCAGGGATCTTCAGGAGACGTTGGGAGAACTAGTGAGTGGCATCTGAGGGCTTTGCGCATGTTTGATAGCTAAGGCTGAGACAGGGGCTGAAATCACAAAGCAGCCCAGTTTTGTTGCAAGCAAGTTGCTAGACGACGGACGTTGGGCTTGACCATACGTCGTGCCCGACTCACTGTGAGAGTGCACCGCGCAAGACATCTCGAAAATTTGCACATGCACCGTGCAGCAGCTTAAGGTGCTTTCCAAGAGTCGCCTGCACCTGGGCCATGCAAGTTCGTCCTGACCGTTTTGAGGTTGCCATCTGGCCAAGGTTCGCGAAAGCAGCACTGATCTGAAAACCAGACTCGAATGGATACAAGCAGGGTGCATGCTTCTCAGGATAATGGCATCGTGGTTCGGGTCATTGCGCATGTGTGCTACAACGATTCGCTGCAATGTAATTAGCGATGATGTGTATAGGCATTCTTTAAATACGATAGGATAGTCTTCTGGCCTTGGCATGGACAGTTCAAGATGCGAACATATGACTTGATACAGAAACTGCTCAGACCAACTTACAGTCTGAATCGTACAGTTTGGTTTAGCGCTAGAGTTCACCTTTTGAAGCACACCTGGCTGATGCATGGCTAGAAATGCACGCGTTGGAAACCCTGGCATCTAGGCTGCAGCTATGGCGAGGCAATCCCAAGGCTGACAATGTGAGCGACTGCAAAAGCCAGCGGTCGCAGCTCTGACCCGCACAGCAAGAATTGCTAATGATGGGGTCCTTCTTGCTCCGCACAATCTGCGCAGATGTTTCCATGGCTATCAAGTGTGCTCATCGTCTTGTGACATCATTGGCGTTGTAGTTCTCAGGGTCCGAGCCGCATTCACGCCAAGACGCTCATGTAAGTCGGCTTCCTTGGACCTTCTTGAGCAGTACAACTTCACGCCAAGGATGATCCGCGCTCTGCTGCCATCGGCGCCGCTGGGGGCCAACTTGATTCTGGGCAGCTACGCCAAAAGCGCAAGCGATGGGAGATACGTAGCCAGCAACGACCTCAGCTCTCTGGACTCCAGTAGCAGACCCGCTACTGGTCAACGATGTAAGGGCCCCAGGTGGAGCAGACCTGTTGACCTTCCGGGGTGGCAGCAACGAGCCTGTTCAGCATCAAAGACGGCATCAACGTGCTGACCAAGGTTCGAATTTTGCGGACTCAAGCCTGGGCATTGCCACCGCAGGCTCCTTCCAGGGAGGCACGGTGGAGCCGCTTCTGCTGACGGGCCAGTTCCTGAACTTGAAGGCCGGCACGGTCTCCGTCCGGATCACAGACCAGGCGGTCCAGAAGCTCTGCACCTTCGCGTCGGCCGAGGTGCACACGGTTGGCCCTCCGGCTGCACGTGGACACGGAGCTCTACATCGACGACGCCGTCGGCACCGCCACAGGGCTCGTCACCAACGCCATTTCAACGAGGGCCCAGGACACGCAACTGTCCATCACCGGCGACTCCGGCGGAACTGTGGTGAACGGCGACCTGGATATATATGGAACCATGACCAGAGCTAGCATTGAACTGAACACAGAGCACCACAGCCCGAAGACCGCATTGGCTTCATAGCCCAGGAGATCCTTGCCTCCGGCGTGTTGGGGCCGAAGCTCGCCAGCATGCAAGACAACTAGGCTAGACTACTCTCGGCTGACAATATGTTCTATGGGAAGTCTGCAAGCAACTCGAGTGGAGCATTGCTATCCTTGAAGCCGACGAAGACTGAGCTCATCGACGACGGAAGCAATCTCGCGACCACAGGCTCTGCTTATTTCTGCTGATCTCGCCGTCGGCCGTCTTGCCAGAGCCGCAGTGGGCTAGTTTTGGATGTCTTCCCCATACCGATTGCGGACAGCTAAAGCTCCGGCTGCAAACCGGCTTCTGAAGGGATCCATGGCAGATTGCTCCAGATCCTTGTATGCCTTCTGGTGTTTGCCCAAAGCTCAGCAGCCCAGGGACGCTCACGGGAAGCGCTTCACTTGTCAGGCCAGCGGCCAGCGGCAAAACTGACGCATTGTTGACTCCACCTCACGCGTTTTGGGGCTCGTCGTCTGGCTCTCGGCTTGGGATCAAACTCTTGAGTTTCAAGGTGATCGGGTTTTGCGTTGAAGCCTTCCGCCCTAGACCCCTGACCCTGAGGCATCGTGGATTCACCATCTACCTAGTTTCTTCAGCAGAGCACATCAATGAACCTTGTAGGGCAGGCTGGTTGGAACACGACACGGAACAGATCTTCACACACCTTCTGATGGAGGGTTCGGCAACTGCTGTGAGTTTCCTATGCTTCGCTTCGCGAAGAACCAACCTGAAGCTCTAAGCCCTAAAGTCTACACCGTAGACCTTCGACCCTGAACCCCTGAACCCCTCAACCCTAAGCCCCTAAACCCCTAACCCGAAACCCTAAACCCTAAACCCTAACCCTAAACCCTTAAAGCCACACCCCAAGACCCTGAAACCCTTAGCTCTAGATGCCCTGACCTGAACATGTCGGCCCAAGCTCGCGTGCCAACCTCGGTCCTGCGGGCAAGGCCCTCGGCCACGCGTTTAGCTGCGGTGTCTTGATTGGGTTTAGGGTTTAGGGTTTAGGGTTTAGGGTTTAGGGGGGTTTCTAACACGGGCTGAGGCTTTCTATTAGGGGTTTGGGGTTTCTCCCTGGGTTTCTGATACGGGCTGAGGCTTTCTATTCGGGCTTTGGGGCTTTGCGATCGGGGTTTAGGGTTTCTAACAGGGTTCAGGGCGCTTATAACCGGGGTTTGGGGTTGAGGCTATTGGGTTCATGGGTTTTTAGGGTCGAGGGTCTCAGCCTCAAAGCCGGCTTCAAGCCGACAACAGGGTACTGTTTCTTCTCAAGCCCTACCCAACTAAACCCTAAACACTAAACCCTAAACCCCTTAACCTTAACCCTGAAACCTTAAAGCCCGGTAAGACGTGGTAACACCCAAGAAAAAGCCCCGTGGGCAGTTCTCTAAATTAGGGTCCCTGTTTTAGGGTCCCTTTTATAACTTATAAGGGTGCCGTACTTCGTTGGAGACTTGAAAAGGGTCCCGTATTTGCAGAAATAACCCCCAGAGCATCCCGATGGACGGCTATCAAACCCGAAACACCCCAAAGAACCCAGGGATTAGGGTTTAGGGTTTAGAGTTTAGGGCGCCGAAGCCCATGATTCAGGCCTCCAGCATGGTGCAGAGAACGGGACGACCGGTGGCTAGACTTTTCCATGGGGAGAGTTGCTTCCAAGCGGGGGGTCCCTCCTTAAAGGGGTAGGGCTTCTTGCAGGCTTTAAGGGACAGGGTTTGTGGTTCATGTTTCTTGTGAACGAGGGTCCCTTTGTTTCGGTGCTCTTAGGATTTTCAAGCTGTTTAGTGTTTAGTTTCTTTTGAATTAGGGTTGATCTTGTTTGGAGATCCTTTGTCTACCGCAAGAGGTTTTGCCTTGTTGGTCGAGGATTTGCCGTGTCGGAGCTGAACCCTTAAAACCCTAAACGCCCTACACCCTCAACCTGAAAACCTTAAACCCCAAACCCCAAAAGCCCTAAACGCCCTAAACTCCAGTGGTTCCGATTTGCTTTGAGGAGAGAGTCCTCGGGTCTTCACCAAACGCCCCAAACCTTTTGTCCCTTCACCCGAACGGCATAAAGCCGTGAGCGTGGATCCTCCTTGGACCGGCCAATTCTGCACAGAGGCCATCTTGTGAAGCATCTCACCTCTTCCACTACCCAAACCTGAATAGCCATACTGCCCTAAAACCCAAAATCCTAAACCCTCAAAACCCTAAACCCTAAACCCTATCCGACATGCGCAAACTTTCAACACGGCCCGAGGACCCACTTTGAGCTCGAACATGTCTCAAGAAGCGGAGGCCCGGCACCAGACAGGGAGAGGGTGCTTCCAGTATATATATTCTAATACTATATTATGGCATATTATAGCATTCTATAGTGCATAATATCATATTGTAGCATATACTCTCTTTTTGTAGCATATACTCTCTTATTGTAGTGTATGATATCATCTCATAGTATGTTATTAGAGCTGGTTTGGTCGTAGTGTCTGCAATCGAAAGAGGGCCCTTGCAAGTCTCAAGATTCGAACCGGGTTGTTGGCTTAAGGCTCTGGGTTTCTGGTTGGGTTTTTGTTTTGCAGAGTTAGTCTCGCCCGCTGAACTACGGACCTTCCTGCACACCTGATGATGTCAGAAACCCTCGTGGCCGCATTAAGCATCTTTCTGCTAGACAGGTTAGGTGAGTGACATATCAAGTGTTCTAAGCAGGAGCCATTGAGGAGGAAGTCGGAGACCCTTCAAGTTCTGCACACTTGGAATGTGCCTCAACCCAACCCGGTGCAGAGCTAGACGCCTTCCTGAAGCCCTCAGGCCGGTTGTCTTCCTACTCAGCGTTCCCACTCACGTGGGCGGTGAGGTGTACAGCCTTCCTTGGATTAGTGCGAGTAGCAAATTTTTCCCACGGACGTAGATGCCGTAAGGCCCCGGTACCCTCACGCCAGCGAGGCTCAAAACGGTTGCTTCTGCAGAGGAGATGCTCAGGAAAGAACTTGCAGCAGCGCTAGCGGAGGTCTGGAAACCCGCCTCTTGAAAGGCAACCAAATCTTCGGAAGGTTTCCTTTGCAAGCCGTAAGATCTCTGTACCTGAGTCCTGCATGGGAGACTCCACTTCTCGGCCCGAGTCTGACCTTATCCAACAGCTGAACCCTTCATTTGGAAGCTTCAGACAACAGGGGAACCCCAATTTCAGGTCTTTGAGAGTAGCTTCTCTATCATGGAAGCGCTTGAGTAGGGTTACTGCGAGCTGAAGCCCACATTTCAGCGGGATGGTTGGGCCGACCTTCGACATGTCGAAGGAAGCCGCGAGGCGAGAGGCTGCTCGGAAGGAGGTCGCTCCATGGGGCAGCGTGCTGGCGTATGTAACCATCGTGCTGGAGGCCATGGCTTTCTCTTGTGGACAAAGTCTTTTTCATTCGCCGTAGGGAGACAGGCACGGGATGCTGTATTATGGAGCCCTATCTATGGGTTCTTGCAACGCATTCATGGCACTCTTGGGGGTTTTCCAGTTTCAGGTCATACTTCTATGGGTGTGTCATCCCCCCTTTTGGAGACAGCCACTTTTCTCAAAAACCGAGAACTCGCCACTAAGCATTGCCTTTCGGTCCTGGACCTGTGCAAAGCACATGATTTCTTCCATCAGTAGCACTATAATAGCAATCCTCAGAAGGATCGTCATCATTGTCATAATCATATTTATAATCTTAACCGAACCGTAAACAGAATCAATATAGTTGTCATGATAATAGTAGTAAAAAGATTATAATTATAGTAGTAGTAGTAGTCGTAGTAGGAGTAGGAGTAGGAGTAGGAGTAGTAGTAGTAGTAGTAGTAGTAGTAGTAGTAGTGGTAGTAGTGGTAGTGGTAGTGGTAGTGGTAGTGGTAGCGGTAGGGTAGCGGTAGCGGTAGCGGTAGCG